TACTAAAAACTATTTGGCCACGGTGACGATGTAAAAATGTGCATTTTCTGAGTTTGAGGATTTTTCTCAGGATCAGCGTTTTCCTATGCCCGAACAAGTCAGCTAAAAAGCTAAACCATAAATGATATTGAAGAAATTCCTTCAATGTGAGTGCTAGAAGGTTCTGAAGATGTTGTATACCAAGTTTCATATTAGTACATCAAATAGTTAATAAATGGGAGCGATACGAAAATATGTATCGTTTTGGATTTTGTCTGTGATTTTTGGAAAATCTCTTATTGGATTTCTATTGGGGAAGTGTGGACTTCTTCATGGTCTGGGCCAAACTGTCGGAAAACCGTAAATGCCACACAAATGAGGGTTATATTTCCTGAATCCTGACAAAAATCCCTACGTTTTGATGTATAATTTATTTCAATTGAGTTAAAAATGAGGGACTGAGAAGAATTTGTTCGGAAAAACCAGAACAGCTCAAAAGCTAGAGCACGCACTATAGCAGTTGAAGAATTCCGTCCATAGACTTCCATTATAAATCTGAAAATCTTAAAAATTTCTTTTAAAGTTTGAAGCTTCACTGAAGCAAAACTGTAAAAGTTAGCAGAAAGCCGAGTTAAACAGTAATAGCAGAAAGATACGGAAACATTTTAAAAGTTGAATGGTGTTTCTAGCTGAAAGTATGCTGAAGTAGTTAAAGGTCAAAGATGATGAAGGTTTAGCTGAATTTTGCTGAAATCTAAGAATTCTACATGCAACATTGGGACAAAAAAAACGCAGAAAAAGCTGAATAACGCGAAAACTACCAAAAATATCTTTACCAAAAGACATAGCAGAATTCTCCTGAACGAGCTGAACGTTTTGATACCAAAATTGTTGAAATCGGTTGAAAACTGCGGGACTAGTTAGAGTCAGAAAAATTTTAAGTGAAAAACAATAAGTGGGAATGCATAAGCATTCCCACTTGATAAAGAGAAACAGGATCTCAATAGTGTGAATGCCTACAGCATTCACACAATAAAGAGAAACAGGATCTCAATAGTGTGAATGCCTACAGCATTCACACAATAAAGAGAAACAGGATCTCAATAGTGTGAATGCTTTACAGCATTCACACAACTATTTTCTTGTCCTGTTTGTTTATTGCCAGGAAACAAAAGGACTGCAACTAAATTAACATCTCTGTTCAAATAATTTCTTACCCATGCATGAAGCTGTTGCTGAACTGGAAAGCTCCTTCAGTGACAGATTACAGCACCCTAAATGCACAAGGGAGTGTTATCACAGATCCTTCCTCCCAGCAGCTGGAAGACTTTTTACCATCATTGTTCCCAACAACCTCAATAAGTTGTTACATTCATGCGAATTTTTGCTGTTCCTTAGTCAAATAACATGCTGTCATTTTTTCAAATCTCTAGTGTTGCCATTTTCAAACATGCACTACTGTAGAAATGCAGTTATATATTGATTTATTCTCCAGATGCACAGTATATTGTAAAAACTGTACAGGCTTTTATTAGTTTATTTTCTTAACTGTCACTCTGTTATTTTTATATACTTTTTAGGGTACATATTTGTGTGACCAATTTTGCTTTAACATTTTGCGGCTGTAACACCAATTTCCCCGTGGTAAGACAATAAAGAGATTTTCTATTCTATTCTAAATCTTAACAGGGAGGAAACAACAGCAGCAGAATTAAATGGGAAGTTGCACAGAGCAGCATGGAAAATGGGACTGAAGGAACAGACCCCCACCAGTACCAAACAAACCTTACATTAGTTTATCCCTGACACGGTTTTCTGTAGAGTACATGTATTCATAATTAAAGAGTTTGAGTCATCCCGAATTTTCAGCCTACACTAGCCGATGCACTTCATGTGGGACTGCACTTTATTTTCTATTATATTCTATTATAATATTAGCTGGGGGAAGATGGAGGAACCTGCCTAGAGCGAACCACCACTGATTATAGATAAGACCTTTCTTGGTTAATAACTGTACTTGGCAACAAATTGATAAAAAGGGAACCCCAACATAAATGAAACTTGCTGCTTATATTAAATAAAAACCTTTTCAGTCACTCAATAAGGAAAACCAGTTACCTTTCCCATGACTTTATTAACAAGTTGCTTCCACAAACAAGCAGGCCACAAGAAGGTACAAGGAAGCTATCTGCCTGAAAGGCGGTACAGATGGCCACCCCCCCCATACCTCAGCAGAAAGATGCTTCAAATATTCACAATCTCTCTGATCTCAATCCATCCCACAGGAAGTTTGCGAGCTCAAACCCACAGCTATACCCATTATCATTTAACACATCGCCCCTGGGTGCTGCGTCTTGGAAACGAAAGAATAGCATTCCCCCAGAATCTACCGAGTGACGACACAGTCGTCATGTCGACTCCTCTGTGGCCCTCGAAGACATCATTGCCCAGAGTTAAGACTAACATAAAACTGCAGCAAAGATTAGCCGTAGCGTGAGCTACAGCATTTCCCTTTCGTTAAAAACAGTTTTAGTGTTTTCCAGGATCTGCAATAATCAATTTTATTAGGTAGCAACATTTCAAAACATCAATTTTTTGACAAAAGTATGTCCTAAAGTAGTAAATCCTGATCCTGAGCAAGAAATTAACAGCATTTCTCACTTTGTAAGCTGAAAGAGTGGGATTCAGGATGATAAAACTTGAAATAATTCAATTATTAAGAACCCCTGGACTACTTAGAGAGAACAATCAAAGGTATTCCAGACAGGATGGTGATTTCTTTTCCACAGAAAGCTTCAGCTTTTTCCTTTCAACTGAATTAAATCTTTGGCAGCATCATCTGATGTCCATCAAGTTCTCTTTGTCACCTGTGCAGCCAGGTTTGATCCCACTAGTGTTGTTTTCTCCTAAACGAGCATCCTGGACAAAAGAGTAAAGAGAGAGAAACAGAATGATAAATACAGAAAAGATAGCATAAGTAAATATACAAGTATGAGAGCCAGTCAATATGACTCACTGAGAGGAGGTAAGTGCTAACTATTACCATCTGCTTTTTTTTATTTTTTTTTATTACCGATTCACCCTAACAAGTGTGACTATGGTACCAAAGGTTGAAGCTGCACCCATACAGATCAACGAGAGGCTGTTAGTTACCAGGGCAGCAGAACGCCTGACAAGAGTGGGAGAGCAAAAACAAACCTTGACCTTCAGTTTGGCTCACTCACCAACACAAACAGAATAGTCACATCCTCTGACTTGAGTCCTGCAGCTATTCGTCCACTTTTTGTAACTTTATGTGTATAGAAATTATGAAAGCCTGAATAGATATCAGAATGAAAACAGGAGTAATATGTTGGTGCTTGTAGTCGATTGTGCAGAAATAGATCAATAGTGATAAACTCCTCACACCAAGCACCGACAGTTACTGTTTGCCTCGATTGATACCCTGTTCACTGAGAGCATAGTGACAGGGCAACACTAAGGCAAAGGTGTAGAAACGACCCAGAGAAACTGAAAAGATCCTCAGTGTTTTATTTAGATCTAAAGCCTTTAGGTTCAGGTCAGCTGGGGAGAAGCTGACTTACAGAAGCATTTATTCGCTAACCTTTTAACTTAAATATGTTTTGAGTTGTTTTTACTTGGACTGAAAGTGAAATGGCGACCAACAGAACAGCAGAGTTGTACGGTTGAATAAAAATCTAATAAAAATCTCTAGTTTGGCACAGGTGATCCGATTTCAACCCAAAACAAAAATTACAGTTATGTAAAACCTTAAGAAGTTTTTATGGAGAACATCAGAGAACAGTAACGTAAAACCGACACACTGAACTCATCCCGCCCACAGTGATACAGAGTGGTGGCAGCTGTATGTGTAGTACTGTGGGATACTTTTATTCTGTTACATGAACGTTGGTTAGATGTGATTGAAAGCAAGATGGCGGCTGAATAAAGGACAGACCTGCACTGGACCTTAGACCTGGATTAGTGTATCATCGTCCAACATGACAAAAACCCCCGAATATACAACCAGAGCATCATGTGCTGGAAGGGCCTAAACCTCTTTGGGACTTTTTTTTAAAGGAAACTGATGATTTCCATGTAATCAGTCTAAGTATGGAGCACAAGAGCAACTAAATCCAGATCCCCCTAAAAGCGTTGGTTGCTGGGATTTTTTTTTTTTTTTTTTACATTTTTTAACAGTTGAGATGACGTTTTAGGACTGCAGCTAACAATTATTGTGAAAATCGATTTATCTGTTGATTATTTTTTTCAATTAGTAGATTAATAATTGCAAAAGTTTCATTGAAGAAGACATTTTACAAAATTAAACCAAGTAAAAATAAAACATTTCCACTTGAGGAGTTATGGGTAGAGCAGACTGACAGACTATAAAGATCTTTTTTTATTTTTAATGCAAAATGTTTATATTTCTGTTCACTAAAAGAGTGTACTCTAAAAGTATGTTTTACAGTAGCTATAATTGTTAACGATTAAGGGATTACAAACTGTTCTTTAATAAACAAACCTATCATTTTACCATTTAAACCAATGTCTTTAATATACATCATTTCCCTTTTCATAATACAAGTAAAACGTTCTGAACACAAAAAATGGGAATTTAGGAATTTCTGTAATTGTGCAAAGAAAGGAGGTCAGACTGACAGCTGATTAGATTTTACCACATTACTTAATGCTAAAATGTATATTCATTCAGGATCTTAATCTCGTCAAATCCACCAGAAATGCTAATATATGCTAATATTCCCTGGTAAATTTATAAATATTACAATGTGCTTTAACATGTCAGTAAAATAAATAAACAAAAAGGGTTTAGTAGATAGGCGAGGAAGAAGCATATATAATGGAGGGATTTTTTTCCAAATGTCTTCACTATTGAATGAGATCCTCCTTATCTCACCACATTTATTAATTAGGTTTACAATTACACATTAAATATCTAATGATAAAGATCTAATTTTTGTTATATTTATAACAACATGCAGATATATTTGTAGAGTTTAAAGCTGATATGTAAAGGTTAGGCTAATAATTGCTTTGATTGCATGGAAATGAAATGAATTCTTTGCTACATTTTAAACCTGTTTGTCTCAGACAGTTTACATCAGGGCTGCAACTATTATATTAATAATTGATTAATCTGTCTATTATTTTTTCAATTAATTTATAATTAGATAACATAGGGTTCCTTAAAGAAGATTTTATACAGAATTAAACCATGTGAAACTTTGACAGAGTTATGGATAGAGCATATTGGAAGGAGAATGTTTTTTTTTTTTCTTAAATTAAAAATATTAACATATTTTTTCACAAATTGGACATAATTACTGCTCTAAGTTAGTTGCTCTGTCAGATAAAGGCATTTTTAGAGTCTCTATAATCCAATAAACGATTAATCGATGACTGAATTAGTTGATTATTTCAACAATCGATTAATCCCATTGTTTTAGTCCTAGTTTAAATAAATAAAAGTAAAATAAAGAGAACGTTCAATAAATAGAGCTCCTGGTTTGTTTCTTTACCTTCTGTCAGACGAGCCTTTCCGCCTGTCGGCTGGCACAGGACCGTGGAGCAGCCCACACACAGCACTACTGTCTGAGCATGGCTGAACACTGTGGTGATCTTATAGCAACCTATAAAACAGAGAAAAAAAAAAACACATGAAGGAAATCCCAAACTAACCTAAAGAGGCAACAGCAGCCAAACATCACCTATGCCTGATTACAGTTGTGTCCTTGCAGCTGTTTAGTGTAAATAGGTCAAGTGAAATCTCATCCACAAACAACCACAAGATTCACTTTCTGCCTTATTTGACACCCCGATCACTACAAATTCAGAGAAAGGGCAACACATAAAGGCAAAATCTACACAGATTATTTTAAACAGGATCCATAATCTGAGATTAGTTCATAGATTAACACAGACCTGGACATTTGACATCCATGAAATAAGAGTTTGGACTCTGAACAAGCCGCTTCTTCTTGTGTCTCCTCTTTTCCTCCTCAGGACTGGGGTGCAACAAATCTTTTGCAAGCTGGGGGGAAAAGACAGCAATGTTTAGATTAAAGCCTTTAAAAAAATTGCAGAAGATTTTAGATTACAGGCCTACAAACTAAAATACGCAGGAAAGAGGTTTTATAACATGATGATTACACAAAGGCTGTGACCTGAATAAAGGGTTAATTTTAAGTAGCCAGATTGCAAGGAAAGCAAAAGTGATAGAAAGTATAAAAAGGTAGTTTTTTTTTTTACCATTTATTAAGAATCACAAACTAAATCTCACATTTTTTTCCAAAAACGTTAAAAACAATACACCATGTTGTGCAAAGACATACTATTATTCATTCTGTATATTAAAAAAGTTATACCTTTTTTTTTAAATAAACCCCTGGTGTTTAATTGTTATTATTTAAATGCGTTTTCAGCGATAAAAAGCGAAGCGTTGTTTCTGTCTAACACGTGTTTTCGCCATATTGCCTCGCTTCACATTTCTACATCAAAGTAACACGAAGCGACAAACCAACGCAAAGAAAGACGCAACTAAGACCAGCATGTTGAAGCATAAAATAAAACCAATATTTATCGCATCATATTAACTTTAGAGGCGGTGTTTTTCTTCTTCTTTTTTTTACTTACAGGCATGGCGCGTGTCTCCAGTAGAGTCTCTAGAAGAAGAAAAAAAAGGAAAGAGGCCTCTCCGGTCACGTGCCGGAAACTGTTGGCTGATGGGAGGAGAAAGAAAAACTGTATAAACACGTAACTTTTTTTTTTATTATTATTAAATAAGTGCAGGGAAGAGACGTAGTTATTTTTCTGAAAAGGCAGTATCGTATGGCAAAAAAAAAATACACTAAAGAATAAAAAAGGAAACATTTTGAATTCACATCCATAACATTCTCATATATATATATATATATATATATATATATATATATATATATATATATATATATACACACGTTTTCCACTTGAAAGTGAACCTTAAAGTGCTATTTTAATTATATGTATAAGACCAATCTCTTTATTTTATTGAATGGAAAATATAGTTGTTTATTTCATGTCTAACATGTAGAAGGAAGGCATATCTACAATCATAGTTGTATCTCAATCTGACATCTGTTTTTGTTTTGTTTTTTATCAATTCTTATATTATTATTAGACATGTACAAGATCTACTGGATCACAGAGAAAAGATGGAAGAGGACAGATTTATTTTTGTATTTTTTTTATTAGTCCCATCAATATTACACGGATATATTGATACATTATATATATTATTGTATGTCTTGTATCATGTCTGTTAGTTGTGCTGTTCTTTTTACATCTCTTTGCAGGTGATGCAAAGAATGAAGATGTTTTATCGTTATCTCCCTTTTATTTCCTTTTTCTTTTATATTTTCTCCTTTTTTTCAGTTTTTCCTTTCCTGTTTTACTTACATTGCAGTGTCCATATTATCTGTAAAACTCCCTGCATAATTCTAATAAAGCAATTTATATGCATTAATCAAGCAGAATACTGTGGCGATAGCCGTACTAGTCCCCTTGTGAAAGTAAAATTTGTTGGGCTCTCTTTGGCTTCAAGACAAATATTCTTATTGCCACATTGCCAGACAGGACACTGTTAAAAAAAAAAGTTGCCATCAATGAAGCATCTATTCTATATTGAGGTTTATTATAATAGCTGAACCATGGCTGTTCCTGCACTAAATAAATAGATATGTCCAATAAGCTTCTGGACAAATTTTCTGAGAAACTGAATTATTATATCATTATCAAAATGAATAAGATAACAGAAGCTGAGGCTATATCAGTTTAGAATATGAGTTGTAATTTTTGGATTACTACAATAAATGCATTTACCGATTATATCACAATCATTTGCTTTTTTTAGGTCAAACAATCTAATGTTTTCACATTTCAAATAATATTGGATGGGAAAACCCATATCCATATTTAACTAAAATAAAATTTAAAAATCAGTTAACTTTTTTTTTTCCAGTGGCCCTAATCTTCTTCCGTTCATATGTCTATGGGGAAACCTTGCAGCATAAACATTTGTGAGGAGCGCTTTTTTTAACCCAGAAAAATAACCTAAGCTTCTGTTCTAGTGGCGCCATCTAGCGTCCAGTCAGGGTAAATGGTCACACCCATAAATCACTCCCACTCTGCTGAGCTCCCTGTGGAATTTGGGCAATTTTTCCCCCCCTTGTAGCCTGAAAACCACTTAGCGTTACCGTTGTGTTTTTTAACGGTGTGATTTTGATGTGTTCAGAGTAGAATAATGAAGTATTAACAGTTAAGGCGTTTAAGGTCTAAGTTTGAACCAACAATTTAACTTTGGATGGAGTTTATTGCCGCTCTGTCCAAACTCACTGAGGCTCTGAGGGGGAGCGGAATTTACCGGTGAACAGGCTGGGAGGGAAGAAAACTGCTATAGCCCTAAGAAAAGAAACGTGGAGATTTTTTTTATAACAGATTTTTTCAAGAGAAGGCTATCTTACCCCCCTTCTCCTCCTCTCTGAGCTGAGGAGTATCTTCAGCCATGGCGAAAAAGTACGATTTCCTTTTTAAACTTTTGCTGATAGGGGACAGCGGAGTGGGTAAAACATGCCTCATCATCCGTTTTGCAGAGGACAATTTCAACTCCACATACATCTCCACCATTGGTATGTTGAAAGAATGTTTGTTTGTTTTAATTCAACTTTTTTCCCACCGGCTCTCCACCAGAAACTTGAGCAATGAGCTGATCAAATGTTTGCTGACATTTCATGATGCCTTGTTTGATACTGATTATCGTCAAACGGGTTTCTTACACTCCTTTCATGTCTCAACTGGTCTCTACTTTCTCTTTGTTTTCTCTCTTTTACTGTTCTGCACTTCATGTTTTGATACCATTGTATGACAGAGCCCATACTATTCCTCAGCTTAGAACTTTAGATATTGGTCTTCAGAACGTTCTCAGAAAATCAGTGAAACTTCCACGTGATTCCCAAAAAGGTTAAACAAGAAAAACAAACCACTGGACTTTGTTTCCATGTTTGAAGACTTTTCACTTCCCATCCAGGAAGCTTTTTCAATTCAAATCTCAGAAATAGTGTAGAGCTTTAGGCTCTTGTGCAGTAGCCCAACAAAGTCTTTAGAAAACATGCTAATTGAAATGAATGGATTTCAATTAGCATGTTTTTTAAACTTTTTTGGGGGATTGACTATGACCTGGATCACTGAGAATTTTCTCCAGCAATTTCCCAGGTGATTTAATGTAACCATCCTTGAACACTGATGCAACATACAACCTCGGTTAAAAGCTAAATTCATGAAACATGTAGAACTTAACATTGTTCTGTCATTAACTCAATGAGTTCTTTAATTTAATTCGTCATTGAACCCTTTGAGAACCTACCAAGTGCTTGGGGAGGTGATGGCCTAGTGCAGTGGTGTCCAACCCTGGTCCTCAAGATCTACTGTCCTACAGATTTTAGATGCATCCCTGCTTCAACAGCTGAATCAAATGATTGATTACCTTTTCAAGCCATTCATTTGATTCAGCTGTGTTGAAGCAGGGATGCATCTAAAATCTGTAGGACAGTAGATCTTGAGGACCAGGGTTGGAGACCACTGGCCTAGTGGTTAGAGCAGTATGCTTGTGATCTGAGAAGGTTGAAAGTAGCCAGTTGGATCTTCACAGCCTGCACTCTGTGCAAAACCCTTAAACCCACACTGCTCCCCGGATGCGGCACAATGGAAGCCCACTCCCTAAGGGGGATGGGTTAAATGCAGAGGTAAATTTCTCCAGTGTGAGATCAATAAGGTATAATCAATAAAAAGTGGAGCCATCCCAGAACATTGCCTGAGTTTTCATGGAACAATTTTGGTCAGGAATATTAGTATCCAGTTCTCAAGGGTCAGTGGCTTGTAGCTTTTAGATATGTCTCTGCTTTAACACACTTAAATCACATATTTAAGTCCTTTGCAGAAGTCTTGAGAACTTTGCCTTAACTGAGGAGGTAATCAAGCTATTTGGATGTACTCTCTTTATCCTCTGACATGGGAGTTGGCTCGGAGCTCGTCTGCCTGCTGTGTGTCTCCTGGATGGGGCCGCCTTTTACAGTTGCTTTTTGTATTTCTGCTTCTGTCTCCTTAAACGCCAGTTGGCCTCGGCAGATAGCAGCTCACACTGAGCCTGGTTCTGCTGGAGTGTTGTTCTTATTTTTCCTCTCCACTGTTGCTACAAGCATGCTTAGTGTGAGGGATTGCATTTGAGTCAATGAGTCAATGCAATCAACTGGTTTTCCTTTGATAGAAAACTATGAATCAATTTGACTGTATGATCTGGTGAACTGTAAAGTGCCTGGAGATGACGTGTTGTGAATTGGCGCTATATAAAAAATAAATAAATATATATATATATATATATATATATATAAAAATAAACTGAATTGGATTCAAGTGTGTGGGACTAGAGATATATCTAAAAGTTGAAGGATGCTGGTCCTCAGGGACTTCAGTAAGTCTTAGGTGCTTTTCTGGACCTACCATAGCAAAAAGATACTGTTATTAGAACATTGTCCTGTTAACGTTTTAGTACTTTTATTAGAAAACACAGACTTTTGTTTATGTTAATGTGTTTACTTGACTGCCGTCTTACAACAATCTCTGTTAACAATACAATAGCAGAGACTTGAAAATGGTGCAATTCTCATGCGCCATTTGTTGTGCTGTGTTCTTTGAAACTCAACAGCAGCATAAGTGTGTAAAAGCCACCATCACTGTTAAACACTGGTAAACAAAAAAAGTTTTCCATGGACAGAAGGCAAGGTTAAGTTGTTGCTAAAAGTGACTTTGAATTACAACCATTCCCTGTCATGGTTTGTATGCAGCTGGAATTTTGTGCCTGTGTGCATTAATGTCTAGTGATCTGTGTGATAATGTGCACCAGCAGGGTATTCCCTGTAAGAATAGTTCAGTTTCAGCTGTTTACACAACATTGGAAACAGGACAGTTTCAAACTGGAACCAGTTTTCAGACTGTGCTGTCATCAAAGAAAACAATCACCCTTGCTGTGTAAATGAGCAGTACAAATTAAATCAAACTGTTCAGTTTTTGTGAGAAAATGTGCGTCAACAGGGCCTGAGCTTTCATGAATTCTCCTAGGTGTTTTTTGGCCTTTCATAAAAAAATTTGGTACTTTTATAGAACTGTCCTTGAACTCTAATTAGGGGAGTAAATCACCACCTTTATCACAGTAATTTTTCTATATATGTGTTTGGTTCATGATACGATTCAAGCAGAAATTTTTCTGAAATGATCCGAATTTTACACACAGTTCCACTAGTCTGCGATCGCTATGATGCAATATCACCCGACCATCTACTAGAATTACATTGATATTAACTCACAAAAAACACCTCAAATATGATGTTTTATTTCTAAGCCCCGCCATGGATCAGGCATTAAAAAAAAAAAATCTTCTAATAATAAAATGTCCCCTGTCTACTCTAGCTTCGTGCACTGGGAATTTCAAAATAAAGTTTTACCTTAAAAAGGACATTGTCGATTGAAGTTTTTAATTTTGTATTGCTAATTATTTAATTGATGTGTTGTTACAGCACTAACTTTCACAGATCATGCCTGGTCATGTGGTACCCTGGGTAGGAACTTATACAATATTGAAGGTACCTCCACTAGTACCTTTTTGGAGTATGCCAGTTAAATACATGAAGTTGATTTTATAGAATTTTTCAGGCACTTTCATTGAAGTGATTAGGTCCTTAAAGTTCATAGCCACAACCTTTTCATCAATATGATTAATAGAAAATATTAATACATCTACAAAATGTTTAATGTGGTCCAGAATAAAGTTTTTGATTTTACTGGAAAAATATATGTACATGAATCTTGACAGGTCCAAAATATATAAATATTTACTTCTTGTTATGATGATAAGGTTTCTGCACCATTAGGAGTGACAGATTAAGGTCATGCGAGACAGAGGTTAGGCGTTGCCAGACCATCGTAGCGCCATGGCTTCTTCTAGGCATTACATTTCTCATGTTCAAGCAGACAAACTTTGGAGTGTTGTTGATTTGAGGAGCAATTTCCTTTCATGGGACTTGACATGCGCTTTCGGGGAACTTATGTGATGCTTTGTATTGATCTTATTAAACAAGTATTTATACAGGAAAAATCTCATTGGGGAAAAGAATTTTCCCTTTTGAAGAGAATTCTTGTCCAACATTATATTAAGTCTTAGAGGTTACATATATGAAAGAACAGAACAGACCCCGGTTAAGAATGGCTTCCTAGAACCTAATGCATATTTTTTAAGGATTGTTCATGGAACCTTACAGCTGCCATGATGATAAATCTTATCAGGTGCTTTTACAAAACATTAGTGGAACTTATTGGCTACTTTTATGCAGCCTTTAAAGCTTACCATATAATTTCATGGAACTTAAATAGAACTTGTAAGATACTATCAATGAACCTCTGTGGACCTTTTAAGATAACTTAATGGACTTTGCCAGGTTCTGTACAGTCATGGAGCTCATCATTTACTTTCACAGAACATTTATGTAGCTTAGAGGGGTTTTTGTTGGACTTTTATGGAAAGTGCTTTCATTGATTAATTCTAGAACTTTAAACTTTCATGAATTATATAAGCTAACCTCATGGAAACTTTATGAAACCTACTAGTTACCCTTTGTTGGAGTTCTCACGTGCTTTCATGGAGCTTTCCTTTCAGTAATCTGACTTTCAGTCATCTAGAATACCAGAAAGTCAGTCTAAGATCCAAACAACTACAGCTTTTATTTTTTTCTCACTCTTACTCATTTCCCTGTTTCTATCCTGACCCTATTTCCCAATCTTTCTAAATCTCATTCCTCTCTCTCTCTCTCAGCTCTCACCAGAGGTCCACCCGCCCTCATTCCTATCTCTCTTACCATCTCTGCATTTTCTAAAGAGCTGCTTGCTTTCTGGCATGCAGGCTTTTGTGGTGGACAACCCCTCCCTGCTGTCTATCAGCTTGTCCATCCTCAAAGGAAAAAAACAATCCATGCCTGATTGTGGATGGGAGTGCATGCAATGGAAATGACCAGTTTCCAGTTGACCAATATTTCCTGCTCTGTGTTAGTGTTTCACTTTTTATCAGGAGTTTTTTTTTCTCCTTTTTGGCTCTTATCTGCCCCTCTTTGTCCTCTCCCCCCCTCTTTTTTTTTTTTCTTTACAGGGATTGACTTCAAAGTAAAAACAATTGACGTGGACGGAAAGAAAGTAAAACTACAAGTCTGGTAAGAGATATCACTTGGATAGTTTCTTAAATTTATCTGGCCATTTGTTTGAGTTGATAACAGTTTTTTGTTGTTGTTTTTTCTAAAGCAATGATTCCTTCTTGTAAATTATACTTTAGAAAAGATTAACTCAAAATGAGATCTATATGATAAATTTAATTGTCTTGTTCAGTGTTCCATCATATATTGTTGAATATATCGGAATAATAATATAACTGAATTTAGTGGACTAATTCCTTAACAGCCGGCCTAGAAAAATACTTTAGCTCAACATTTGAGGATGGGGATCCTTAATCCCCCTCCCCATACATATAGGCAAGGCAAATTTATTTGTATAGCACAATTCAGTACAAAGACAATGCAAAGTGCTTTACATGATTAAAATATAGAAAAATAAAACAGAATCAAAGCAAGTAGGAAAAAAATTCAATAAAAAAATGCAGAAACAAAAAAGAATATTAAAAACAGTTGGACTAAAGAAAATAAAAAAGTTGAATTAATGATGTTTCAGTTGGACTGTTTATCTAGAACAGTCGACGGCAATCCTAAACTCACCAATAGGCTAGTATGTTTGTTTGGAGATCAGATAAAGCAGATCAGACTCACTTTATGAAATGCAACCTCTGACAAAAAGCATAACCCATTTTTAGTTACTATGGCTCCTGCACATGATGCATTATTCATCAAGCTTTCTGACTTAAAAGGTTTTGCTTTTTTTCTATAGGGACACAGCAGGACAAGAGAGGTTCAAAACCATCACTACAGCATACTACAGAGGAGCCATGGTGAGGACTCCATGCCTGTAATAGTGGCAGGCTGGATACCTTGCATCTTGTCATTATGCTTATGGTTTATCCTGTGATTGAATCTCTAAATTGTCTCTTCTTATAGGGCATCATCCTGGTTTACGACATCACTGACGAGAAGTCCTTTGAAAACATCCAAAACTGGATGAAGAGCATCAAAGAAGTGAGGCTTTTTCTATTTCCATCAGACGACTTAATTGATCAATTCGACATCAGAGATGATACTTTTACAACAATACTTTAGTAGTATAGGAGAGCGGATTTGAAAGAAGAGCGCTTGACATAACACATCTGTCAGCGCTAAGGCACCGTTTACCTTAAGGGTGGAACTTTTTACCAACATGGATCACCTTTTTCAATATTGATAATAATACATAGATAGGTGTACCATTCATTATGCAGAGTGTTTTGTTTTTTAATCAGGTATGCAATACCCTTTGATAGTGCTCTACATTTGAAGAGAACAAAGACACAAGGTCACAACAGAACTGCTTTATTAAAGGTATTTGAAAAACTGTCACTGAAAAGAAGGTGTTTGGGGCAATTGTAAGTTAATAGCAAAACTAAGAGTTGGAGAACATATCACCAGCTTGTTTTATTGATAAAGAACGTATTATAAATGTTATGAGTTATCACTATCTTACCTGCACACATAACTATGTAAGCAGGTTTCTTTTATTAAGTTGAGGTTGTGGACCTAACGGCTTGCTAAAAAAAGTCTGACATGTTAATCTTGTGTATCTGGCCAGGCAAGTACCTACCTGCTAAAAACCAAGAGTGTCAAACCAATAATTTTAGCAGTTGGAGCTGTTTTTTGCATTTCATAAGAATATATGCCTGTATTTTATGACATGCCTTTTTGGATCTGGAGGGCCAGATAAACTGCCTTGGGGATCCAGATCAAATATTAGTAAAGTAAAGTAAAGCATAGGGAAACACGAAGCGCCCGATGGAGTGGGAGAAAAACGTTTTGATTCTGTAAATCCCTTTATTGTCCCACAATGGGGAAATTCACTCTCTGCATTTAAACCATCCCCTCGGGGAGCAGTGGGCTGCCATTGTGCAGCACCCTGGGAGAAGTGTAAGGTTAAAGGTTTTGCTCATGAACCCAGAGTGGAGGCTGTGGGGATCGAACCGGGTACTTGCAACCTTCTCAGATCACAAGCTCACTGCTCTAACCACTAGGCCAACACTCCCCCATTTTCTCCCTCTTTTTTATGTATAAAAAAAATCTGAGAAGTTTAGCATATATCTATATTTAACCACCTTCCCTCAGCTACCCTTCAATTCAATCTGGTACAACCACTTACATTTTTGCAGTTTGTCACTAGCCAGATCAGGGACAGGGCAGACAGTGATTACATGGTCCTCAGGCCAGATGAGGGAATACACATGTTTAGATATGTGTAGTAATTAAGTGCATCTATTTGAGTAACTATATACTAAATTGCCATGAAGGTCATGATGTGGACCAATCTGGACTGCAGGCACTAAGTTTAAAACCTATGTGCTGCTTGGTGAGCATGTGTTGAAGAAAAACACTCAAGCTACAAAACCTTGAAAATCAATTCATATCATTCAACTTTTCCATTCAAATATTAACTAGACTCATTGATGTACAGTATTTTTGGGAGGGTTCTACATCTCAGCTTTATAGGAAGTACCATATGATTGTCAAGTTGAGAAGAAAAAAATGTTATTTTTTATTATTATTTGTTATTTTTGACGTATTTTTTAAGTTTTATTTCAATGTTGTTGTTTGTTTTTGTAAAATGTTAACCTCTGAGAGAGTACTTTGTAGAACCACTGCCAACTTCATCAAAATTATTTATTATGTCTAAAATTTATTGAAAAATGCTCTTGTTCTTCTGCACCCATTTTCTTATTTTTGTGTATTTGATATAATCTTATAAAAAATATAATCTAATAAAAATGTGAAACAACTGTAACCAATGAATATTTTTAAATGATTAAAAAAAAAATGCAACAAACAGCATTTGTTATAGGAAATAGCTCCCCTTCATTTCCTAAGCGTAAAGGTGCCAGTTACAAATATGGTATGGGTCTCCCATGTGGTCAGTCTCCGCCCCTTTCTGAATGCTGGGCGGAGAGTGCTTGGAGCATACTTGGCTACCTGTTACTGGCCAGTGAGACTTTAAGGGTAGGGGCAGAGAGATTTGCTACATTTTATTAGTTCCTTTTATTTTAGCCCAATAAAACAGACTGCCATTTGTGGTTAAAACAAAACAAAATGTGAAATGGTTCAAGAGATTAGAGGGATAATGTTGACATGTTCGATTGGGGGTTTTCTTTCTGCATTTTAGCAGGGAAACTGATTTCTCTGTCATCAAATTAAATAATATAAGTGTTATATTCCACTGTTAAATCTTACAATTTCACAGAATCAAACTTCCAAAGAAAACCTGAACTTGCCCTTTCATAGTTTGCTCACAGTTTCCAATTGACTTCCCAAATCGTCACAAAAATCGACATAAGATGGCTTCTCTGAAAAGGTACCATAGTACTCTGAAAGTAAATAGCAAGAAAGACAAGACCTAAGCTGTGGTAGCCCAACCAAAAATGGAAGGAAGGTTTTCTTTTAAACTTTAAGAAAAGTATAATCTACATTTCTGCTGTGTTTGGAAAGAAACTTAAAAAAAGTATAATGGTCTGAGTAATATTCCATTACAAACTATACAAGTGCTTGTTTAATACCAGAGTCAAACACATGGCCATCCAAACAGAACTGGAACAAGTCAAGTAGATTTATGAGGTTACAATAAATGTTACTGGTTGCAGAAACTAACTGTTTTGTGTTGCATGTTTGGGTCGGAGGAATGTTTAAGTCTTTCATAAACAGCTTTGGAGTTGCAACAAGAGAACTGAGCCTTCTGAGTTTATACTGCAGCCAGGGGCAAGAGGGAAACCCTCTCATGCCGAGGGAATAACTGACCTATTTCTGTTGTTCTGGAAACTCTGCAGGCCAATTGCACTTTGGTTTAGATAATCGATGATATAATTGTGACCAAAACTGTTTAAAACATTTTAGCTTTTTTTAATGAAACGTTAAATTAAATGGTATGTGCAGAAACGGAAAGATTTTAGACACCTAGAAAATGTCTATAAGGAAGACTAAGAAGGTGTCACAGCTCCAAAAAAAAAAATCTTGGATGAAATTAAATTCTCATTAAGTTAACTTGCTCTTTTTGCCTGAGGGCATTAACAATAGTGGCGGAGTTCAGTCTGTGTTATGCAATAGGTCGATCAGTCAGTCGGTAGGTAGCTAAGAAGGACCTCTTCATTCTAACCTGATCTTAATCTCACCAAGATACTTTCATCATTAAATAAATAAGCAAACCAGAAATAACCTAGAGAAGCATTACACTGTTTATAGCGGTATAGCAAACAGAGCATTTAGTGAATGAATAGCTGATTTAAAGCTCCAACTTTATGCTTATTGCTATGAGTCCCTCTCTTTGTAATATTTGAATGCAAAGTGTGTTAGGATTGTTTTTATGTAAGCTGAGGGGAAAGTTTGGGAGAGGTAAAAGCAAAGCAAGGAGACATTCCAAGGAAGCAACTCTTAAGTTTTACAACTTGCTGGTTATCTGGCAGATATTTGGTGTTGAATCTAAACTTTCTGGTAGTTTTGTGTTGTAATTTTGAGATAAATCATTTGTAGCTGAGCACTTCTGATCAGGTAACTGTCCCCTTTTTCGCAGAATGCGTCGGCTGGAGTCAGTCAGATGCTCCTAGGAAATAAATGCGACATTGAAGCGAAACGGAAAGTTTCCAAGGAGACGGGGGAAAAGGTGAGAAACTACAACTGGTTGACTGTAATTAAGTTTTAAGCTCAAGTTTTAGTTTTAAAGGCATATTTATAACTCCCAAATGTAAAGCATGGGGCAACACAAACTGCTCGATGAAGTGGAAGAAAAACTATTTGATTTTTTTTTTTTTTTTTTTTTTTTATATGCTGTAAAAAAATCTGAGAAGTTTAGCATACATCTATATTTAACCACCTTTCCTCAGCTACCCTTCAATTAAATCTGGTGCAACCACTTAACTTTTTGCAGACGTTGAGTATGGTCCTCAGGCCAGATGAGGGAATACTCAGGATTAGATATGAGTTATAACTAGGTGCATCTAGTTGAGTAACCACTGCCTACTTCATCAAAATTATTTTTTCTGTCTTTCATTGAGAAACTCTGTTTCTACGGCACACTTTTTCTCATTTATTTATTAGTGTTTTTTATAAGGACCTGCTGTGTTTTTGTTATAATCTTATAAAAATATACAGGTGCTGGTCATAAAATTAGAATATCATGAAAAAGTAGATTGATGTCAGTAATTCCATTTAAAAAGTGAAACTTGTATATTATATTCATACATTACATACAAACTCATATATTTCAGATGTTTATTTTGTTTAATTTTGATGATTACAAATGACAACAAATGAAAATCTCAAATTCATCATATCAGAAAATTAGAATATTGTGAAAAGGTTCAAAATTGATGGCCCCTGGTGCCACACTCTAATCAGCTAATTAACTCAAACCACCTGCAAAAGCCTTTAAATGGTCTTTCAGTCTAGTTCTATAGGCTACACAATCATGGGGAAGACTGCTGACTTGACAGTTGTCCAAAAGACGACCATCGACACCTTGCACAAGGAGGGCAAGACACAAAAGGTCATCGCTAAAGAGGCTGGCTGTTCACAGAGCTCAGTGTCCAAGCACATTAATAGAGAGGCGAAGGGAAGGAAAAGATGTGGTCGAAAAAAGTGTACAAGCAAGAGAGATAACCGCACCCTGGAGAGGATTGTGAAACAAAACCCATTCAAAAATGTGGGGGAGATTCACAAAGAGTGGACTGCAGCTGGAGTGAGTGCTTCAAGAACCACCACACACAGACGTATGAAAGACATGGGTTTCTGCTGTCGCATTCCTTGTGTCAAGCCACTCTTGAACCACAGACAGCGTCAGAAGCGTCTTGCCTGGGCTAAAGAGAAACAGGACTGGACTGCTGGTGAGTGGTCCAAAGTCATGTTCTCTGATGAAAGTAAATTTTGCATTTCCTTTGGAAATCAAGGTCCCAGAGTCTGGAGGAAAAGAAGAGAGGCACTTCATCCACGTTGCTTGAAGTCCAGTGTAAAGTTTCCACAGTCAGTGATGGTTTGGGGTGCCATGTCATCTGCTGGTGTTGGTCCATTGTGTTTTCTGAGGTCCAGGGTCAACGCAGCCACATACCAGGAAGTTTTAGAGCACTTCATGCTTCCTGCAGCTGACCAACTTTTTGGAGATGCAGATTTCATTTTCCAACAGGACTTGGCACCTGCACACAGTGCCAAAGCTACCAGTACCTGGTTGAAGGACCATGGTATCCCTGTTCTTAATTGGCCAGCAAACTCTCCTGACCTTAACCCCATAGAAAATCTATGGGGTATTGTGAAGAAGAAGATGCAATACACCAGACCCAACAATTCAGAAGAGCTAAAAGCCACTATTAGAGCAACCTGGGCTATCATAACACCTGAGCAGTGCCACAGACTGATCGACTCCATGCCACGCCGCATTGCTGCAGTAATACAGGCCAAAGGAGGCCCAACTAAATACTGAGTGCTGTACATGCTCATACTTTTCATGTTCATACTTTTCAGTTGGCCAACATTTCTATAAATCCTTTGTTTTTATTGGTCTTCAGTAATATTCTAATTTTCTGATATGATGAATTTGAGATTTTCATTTGTTGTCATTTGTAATCATCAAAATTAAACAAAATAAACATCTGAAATATATGAGTTTGTATGTAATGTATGAATATAATATACAAGTTTCACTTTTTAAATGGAATTACTGAAATCAATCTACTTTTTCATGATATTCTAATTTTATGACCAGCACCTGTAGTCTGTAAAAATGTGAAACAACTGTAACTAATTAAGATTTTTTAAATAAACTGAAGCGGAGTAACTTTTTGAAGTAACCCTAGTTTCTGGCTTCTCCACCCACTGTGAGTAACTTAGGGTACTCCTTTCCTGTCTGGCCATACGTTAGAATGGCCAAGACTCAAAAAGTGTTTTTCCCAGATACATTAATAGAGCTGTATCTCTAAAGCCATTCAGCTGTCATTTAAAGAGCAGATGGCCATATGTAAGTTTTATTATCAACCTGTGTTTGATACCCATTAACCTTTTTCTCCACTTCATACTTATGCCTTATTTTCTCATAGAATTTTTGATCAAATACATTATATAATGTGTGCTTCACCTGACCTAATATATAAAAGACACAATGTCAAAATGACTGCTGACATCTCTGGTCTCCCAGCTTTAAAGTTGCTTGACATAATTACCAGGATGTGGCTGTAAGTCATGTTCCTAACTCTGTTGACAGTTGGCAAAGGATCATGGTATCAGGTTCTTCGAGACCAGTGCAAAGTCCAGCATTAACGTGGAAGAGGTGAGCCATACTGAATCCACCCTGACTGCACACCTCATTGAACTTTAGGCATGTTTTCTGTTAATACTCATGATATCTGCTTTCGTGTTCCAATCTGTCTGTTCAGTCTTTCTTAGCTTTAGCGAGAGATATCCTGCATAAATCCACCAAGAAGCCGGTATGTAAGACCTTCTTTCAAATATTTTCCATGTGGAGGAAAGATGTTTGACATTGCGTCTGTTTTTCCTCTTTAAACAGGGATCTGCAGGAAAAGTGGTGAAGATCACCAGCAGTACGGAGAAACAGCGCTCAAAGTGTGCCATTCTCTAGAAGGGATATCCACAATATACCACAGACATTTAAAAGTGCATTTGTTTTTTATCATGAAAAGATACTACAGCTCTCTGTCACCATCTGCTGGCTAAAAAGATATAATGCATAGAGTATGATTTTTATACCTAAACTGTATTCTGTATTTCTGTTGAAATCTTTTAGTTTACAAGAAATAAAGCATGTCCAAATTAATTTATTACTCTGACAATGTATCTGGGTTTTTTTTTGTTTTGTTTTTTGTGATAGTTGACACAAAATTGTCCTGAAAGTGTCCAAAAGCCTGAACCCATGTTTCGTGTCTCTTGTTTCCATGCAAAATCCTTATAGATTATACCCACACTGATTATCATTTGTACACCAGCACTCTTCTATAATGTGATCTTTTATTATTTTAAGCACACCCTGTAGCAAGTTTAAGGAGTTTGATGTGGGATATTCTGAATTATAGATCTATAAAATATAAAGGACTCTTTTTCTTTTTTTTTTGTGTCATTTTACGTAAAAGTCCAAGTGACAAACTCCTATCAAGCCTATTTAGGGCTTTTAAATAAGAGCAAATTATTTGAACATAAATGTCATAAGTAGTAATTGTTCTGGTCAGAGTTTCTGTTTATATAACATTAATACCACATATTAGTTTTTAATTTGATATATTTGTCGTTTTTTTTGTTTTGTTTTTTTGTTTTTATGTGATGTTTATGTGGGGGGAGATAAATTTGAATTCACATGGGATCAAATATTTACATACACCCCGACTGATATATAGATAACATTCAGCAAGCTGCACATTCACTACGTACCTATTTGTAGGTAATAACAAGCCTCTGTCTTGGTTCAGTTCAATTCAGTTTATTTACCACTAATTCACAACACATAGCAATGCACTTTACAGAGACAATTTAATCAAGTCATGCAGACAGGCTGTTAAAAAGTTCATCTGAGGTCTCTTCCTGCATATATGAACACTTGATGTGATTGAAATTGCAGCATTCATTTTAATAAGTTGATGAACTTATACTAAGCCAACTTTTATGCATAGTCTGGAAGTGGTCAATAACATGCAAGCTGGACCTTTAGCGTGGTAATTACAGAAGCTTAGTAATAGCCGCTTTATCCACTTCAAAAGCAATTAAAATATGTATTTTGAGTATTTCCGTAAACACACTTTTGTGTAAGTTTTGCTTTCCCATTATTAATCTATTCACTTTTTACCCCACAGCATGACCATGCTTGATTTTTGTTAAAGCATTTTTAGCTCCAAACCCTGAAAATTACCTGTCTTATTTGTGGCAAGATGTCTCTGTTGCATTCTTGTTTTTGAAATCTGTAAATTTATATGCTGTATTATCATCCCAAGCTGAAGAGAACACAATAAAATGTATGGCCCCAACTCATTAAGGCTTCTATTTCCATGAGCAGTCTATAATCCCCCTAACCTGATGACTGTTTGCAATAATTTGGCCATGCGAGTACGCAATAGAAAAATTCAACATTTCCATATTGTTTACTTCCTCAGAACTAAATGACTGCAGAATGTTCAGCACATTTAACAATCAATGAGAGAGTGTCATTAAATGCTAACGATCTTGACAGCGTCCTGTTATGCTCAGTGCATTTTTAAATCTCTCACCATATAAATATGTCCCACAAATGGAATCAAACCACAAGCTGATTGGAAAACATGCCTGTTTTAGTAGACTGATGAAGAATGTGGATAATATCAAACAGATTAAGGAGTGCAATCTGAGAAGTTTAGGAAGAGATGGGAAAAGGGTGAGTGTTAATAACTAAGAAGGAAGGAGCGGAGCATTCATGCCTCCCACAGTGGATTGATGTTAAATGGGTCTGCCTTTTATCTGAAGTGCCTGAATGCTACCGCACATTACCAACATTACTGTCTTCCTGTTTAGGCAAGTTTTAAAAAGCTGAAAATCACTCCTCTCTGCAGGTGCTAATTATGGCAGCTTGTGTTTTTTTTTTCCTTTTTTTTTTTGTTTTGCCTACAGACCAGAGTTCATTTTTGGATTATTTGTTAAGCCAGAATTGGTCTATTGGAAGTACTGTAAAAACCTGATTTTCCATAAATAGAAGTTAAATACAATTATAAGTGCTTCTGATTATAATTGTTTTCAGATGCTTTGATGTTTTCTACTACTTCCTTGAATAGATTGTGCAAAATGTTGTTTTAATAAACTTCTAAATAGGATTGAAAGGCCCAGCTTTCTTACTTTTCATGCAAAGTGGATGTATTTCATTGAATTACAGTGCCATGAAGCATTTATAAATCTTAATTTTTCTCAGAATATCACTCTTTAAAAATAAAACTGAAAAAATACTCAGTAATGCAAGTTTTAATAATAGATGTTTAATAAACATTTTTAATAAAAGTTTGTATATGGAAGCTTAACTTGGATAAAGCAAACTGATTTTTAACTCGTTGGGATCTAAGTCCAAACCTAGATTTGTCCTGCTATTTCTGTTTTCCACTGAATGACTCGCTTTTTTTCACTATCACATAAAATTCCGATAAAACACATTCATGATTGCGACTGTAACAAGGACATATAGGTTAAGTTGAATAGCTAATTTAGTTTAATTAAAATATGTTATTAAAATTCAATGAAACCTGTGTATTTTCAGCATAAAAGGCAACCTTTTAAGTATTCATCTGACCAATAAACAAGCAGTAGTCCAAATTCATGTGTTATTTGGGAAGCAAAAGCATAAACACCTGTTCAATATTAGGTGACAGGATTATGGTGAAATCTTTACTTTATTTTAAGTTGTCTCAACATATCTTCTTATTAATTTAAATGTATTTTAACCGGCTTATGTTCAGCATGAAAACGCAGTTATCTGAGTTACATAAAGCATACAACAACATATCAGTTCTTAGAGTTTGCAAAGCGGATAAAGGAAAATATGTTCACAATAAATAATAAGATGGTGATGCACTGTATTTGGTTGGATCAATAACATCAAACACTTGTAGTTTTTATTGAGAAATGATAGCAATATTTATTTGGTGTTTTCTAAAAATATGAGCAAACAGTTAAGGTGAGCCGCAAACAGGATTGATAGGCTGTTCTTCTACGTGAAGCTGCTGCAGAAGGACTTGGAGCCTGTCGCCATGGCAGCCGCCCCTCCTCCCCAGCATCAGCACCACCGTTATGACTGCGCGCGTACGAGCTGCCGCATCTCCGGAGCTGACCGCACGTTTTGCGTGCCGTGTCATCACCACGCATGCGGAGCAGCTTTAAGGATTGCAAATGCAATTATTTCCCTGAAGTGTTGACAGAGGGATGTGTCGAGAGAATGAGCTGAAGAAGGATTGATGAAGATGAACAAGGATATAGTAATGTGATATTTGTGCATAGTTCATAGTGATGTCGATGTGAGGCTTGGTGGGAGGGAGAAAGGTAAACGCACACACACACGCACACGCACACCAAAAACACGGACTGTACGGGATACCCGCGTGACTGCGGGGAGGATAAAAAGCGGAGGAGAAGGAATGGACCGTCGTAAAAGCTCAGAGATGAAGTTATAAATTAATAATTTTTCTATCCAAGAGAAGATCATCCGATTCAACCTGGCATTTTAATTTAGGCTAATTTAATTTTTTGCAGTTAGAACATCTGTAACTGGATAATAGTGTTGATCTCGAAGTCGCAATATTTTGACCACTTTCCGGACGGACCGATGTCATCCTCTGTTCATTTTGGTATCCATTTCCTCTGATAGGATGAGCTGCTCTCAGATCGCCAAATAGGTCCTGATGAGCGGGAGCGCGATGCTGCAGGGAGCGCAAATCAGCGAGCGATCATTGGCCGCTTCCTTTGGGACGGTGGAAGAACCCGCGGCCTGCTAGGGGCCCCGGTTATACCGCAATGCCACATGGGCCGAGAGGAGGGAGAGGTAGAGGAGAGCAGGAGGGGAGGAGGGAGGAAGGTAAAAGCAAATGATTAAAAAAGGGAATATTTAAAACAGGCTCTTTGGTGCACTTAAGGTTTACTTTGACTGGACAATCAAATCTGTTCTCAATGTGCTGTGTGAATTAAAGAGGACTGCATCAGTCTTAGCAGCAGGGTTATAACATCAGCTGAAGTGAGTTGGAAGGGGGGTGCTTGATTCTCAGCTTTCTGCTGACCAAGTTCTTGGACTAACTGACCAGACTGGATTTGCAACTCAAAGCGGTTTAAGGAATGAATTGACACACAGTTATGCCAGCATTCACCTCTGCTCCTTCCATGCTCTGCTTTTCTGTGGTTTAACCCACACTAGTTGTGCACAATAAACATCTCCCAGCCTCTTCATACACACACACATCCATATAGACAAGCAAAGCATGCCTTCACCTTCAGACTCCAGCAGTGTGGCCTCAGCCTCTGGATCTCGCGGTTGGTCTGACAGCCGCAGAGGCATGTCAGGGAGGGGTCCCGGTGGGGCCCGTTTGCTTCTCTACCTTGGTCTGTGCCACCTGGGACTAGGAGCCATGGTCCTGGCCTTCTCCTTTACCAGCATGGCCTTCACCTCGTCTGCACGCGTGAGGCAGTCTTGTCCGTTCTGGGCTGGCTTCTTTGTGAGTACAATTGACTGATGCTTATTTCAAAATAAAACCAGATTGACTGTAAATTGTATGGGTTTTTTTTTCTTTTTATGTATCTGTGCTGTATAGGTGGTGGCATCAGGGGTAGTAGGAATAATCTCATGGAGAAGACCTCTAACACTGGTGGTATGTTTTTCACTACATTTTTTATTTATTTTTCATGATCGCAAGGTAATGAATACATGTGGGCTATTCCTTCTTCTCATTGCAACCACGTATTTTAACACGTTTTCTGCAAAAAATAAAAATTATAAGAAATTTATCATTGTAAAGGGGAAGAAAAATGTATTACATTTATTTTGCAAATGAAATTAGAAGTAGGTAACATTTATATTCAGTCACTTTTAATCTGATACCCAGAAATTCAAGAGAAGCATATTGCCTTCAGATGTCACCCTATTTTAATAAAGTTTCCTCATTTATGGATCTAAATTGTATTGCAAAACAAGAACATTTAGAAAAGGGGTTTAAAATTTCCAATAATTTTCCTTTTTTTCACAATTGTAAATAGATAGATGGAGAATTTATACTTTGTTAATCCCAAAGGGACATTAATATTAGTCACATGTGAACACAAAAAAGCAGAAAGTACAAAATCATTTAATAGTCAAATATTTTAGGAATAATATATAAAGCTCATCTTTGTGTTGGTAAAAAAAACAAAACAAAAAAAAAACAATTAAATAAAACCCATGAAAGTTTGAAGTTGCAATATGACATCTGCATTTTCCATTTCAGATGCATAAAAACTTGCAAAAATGCAAATTTGCATGATGATTAATATGTTCTTCATGCAAGATCATTTATCCTCATGTTAAAATCCTCCTGTTTACATATGTGAAAGATCTTATTATGAATTTAGATTTATTATTTTGTCATTTTAAAAGCTGCCATCTGCTGTCATACTGCTAACATTTCAGCTGCTTGAATTTGTTCTTTATTATTTCACTGATTATTTTGTCCTTTCCTATAATATAAACAAAACATCTACTTCTGTGTCCTTCACAGTCATCTGTTCTCCATGTTTGCCTGCAGATAGTTTTAATAACCTTTCTAAATTAAGCATGGCCTCTGCATCCCTCCACAGGTGTCGCTGTTCATGTTGCTGTCTGCAGTCTGTGTGATCCTCAGCCTGGCCGGCTCAATGCTCTCCTGTCAGAATGCACAGATGGTCAAGTCTATGCTCACCTGCAAGGTATGTCTGCATTGATGTATTCTACCTTTAGCCCTCCTTTCGCTAAAATGTCCTTCTGAGCAGATGCATCCCGAATGTGCCAGGAATAACTTGAATAATGTGAAAGAGCATAGATCAGTGCTTCACTGCAATTCACTCTGTATGATAATGTGTGTAGGTGGAGAATGGTGTGTGTGTGTGTTGTGCAAACACAAAGCCTTGCTCCATGGGGGATGAGGATACCCTGGTTCTTTCCCTAAATGTGGACTGTCACTCAGTCAGACATCAATTAAAGGTAAGCACAGGGCACCCTTTACTTATTAGCACCTACAGGGGTGGGTGCCAATCAGTTCGTCTAAGTTCCAATAAGTTAAACTTTGGCTTGTCAAAAGTTATATTTCAGTGAAGAAAAGACATAATTTAATCATAGAGAACATATGACAATATCGGATCATGTGGAGATACGGATCTCTTTGCGGACATTGTCTAGATTATTCAACCTCCTGCATTTTCTGGTTCCAGCCTCCTATTAGATTATCTTAAAAATAACAACAAAAAACAGGTAATCTAGTGTTTGGCCAAGAATTTCTATGCAGATATTGCCATACTTTTGGGGTCGATATCTTCCTAAATAACATATTGAAAACCACTTTTTTGTTTTTGTCAGAAGCAAACAGCACAGATGCACTTACTGATAGGCCCAGATTTCCTTGATTTTGGGCGATCGGCTACTGCTTACATGTAAAAACTGTTCTTATCCTCTGATATTATCTACCTAAAAGGTCTAGCCACTGTTGATGATTTTGACATTTCTCTATATACATTATGACCTTATAAAATCTGGCATTATTTATTATAAAAAAATATAATAAAAAGATCTGTATATACCAGTATCAGGGTGTTGCTATGCACTCTGTCAATATGCGAAAAACCTCTGGAAGATAAAAGGCCCATAGCATACAGATCCCTCACCATACTTGGCATGTGCCATGAGATGTTTTTCCACATTTTCCTCCTTTGTTTCAGAACAGACAAACGTGGACTGCTTGTTGAAGAAATACTTGGTGTCACCTGACCAAAGCTTGCAGTTCCAGTTAAAGTCCTAATTTCCAAAATAAGATTATTTTAAGGTTTAATTAAACATATTTACCAAAGCTACAAACATTTATTGATAATTTTGTATTAAGTTATTCATAGGAAACAACTGTGAGCTAAAATGTTACATGTCAGAAAAATCACTCATAAAAGGTTGTTGTTGAGGTTTTATTCGTAATTCCTATTTCTCCCCAGGATCTTTTGTTCAGTGCATGTGGTCTCAGCATTCTCTCCACCATAATTTGTACGCTGTCGACTGTGACTTGCAGTATCCACATATTCTCCCTGGACCTCGTGCACCTGGTGAGTGCAGGCGCAGCACTTTTCATTTTAAGTGTGATCCTTTTTTGTTATGACGCAGGTATTGTGCTGATCAGCTAAGAAATGAAGCTAGAGTTCAGGGTATCAGTTTTAAACACAAAAAAAACTTAATGCATCTCCTGTGGCTTCTGCTTAGCTTGCCCCTCATCGCTCCCGGTCTGTCAACCCAGAATGCACCACTCCACAAGATGCCTTCCTCACAAACATCATGGACTTTGAGGAGTTTGTCCCCCCAATCCCTCCACCCCCCTACTATCCTCCTGAATACACCTGCAGCTCAGAGACAGATGCTCAAAGGTACTAATTACAGTTGTGAAATGTATTGTTTTGCACTGTGCACTATACGATAGCCATTTTGTAACATTGCACACACTGATAATGAGTGGATGAAATTTTTGTATCAACATCTAGCATCACCTATAATGGCTCTATGGAGAGTCCTGTTCCATTATACCCGACTGACTGCCCCCCTCCTTATGAAGCTGTGATGGGCCAAAGAGCTGCCAGCCAGGTGAGCATCTGGGTATGCACAATGTCATCCAAAACGTAGGTCAGGATTACTCCTATTATGGATTATTTATTTGTTATTATGAATCAATAATAAATTAAAATACTATCAAAATGAATAAATGAAAGCCATATATTCAATGACAGAGCCTCAGCTTGTGAGGAAGGTGGAGTGATACTGGCAAGAAATAGTCGGGAAATAGTCGGGCTCACCTCCACATATAGCCATGTGGACCATGTTCTCTGCCTCCACTGTAGATGCAGCTGCCAGTAGCTGTGGCTGTAATATCTGAAACACCTGCCACAACGCCAATCACTAAACCTGGTGCTGGGAACTAGCAGTAAGGGATGCTATCAAGGAGTCCTATTGAGCCTGGTTGGCTTGTGGGACTCTGACATAGCAAATAGGTATCATGAGAGCAAGCATGCCGCTGCCCGTGTGTTCACTGGAAGGAGTTTGGAGAGGCCATGGAGAAATGGTATCAGGTGGTCCAGAAGAATTTCTGGCAAGCTGTCCAGCTTCTCTAAAGGGGGAAGTGGTGCTTTCCTAACAATGCTTTCAATGAGAGTGAGATGCTGCTGAACTGGAAAAGCACATTGTCGGATCATGGAAGCAATACTGTCAGGATCTCCTCAAACTGGCTGATACACCCTCAGTCATGGGTAAAGAGACATGGAGTCACTGAGGTGGTCAAAAACTCCAAGGTGGCAAGGCTTCAGGAGTGGATGAGATTGACCCTGGGTACTTCAGATCCCTGGCTATTGTTAAGCTATTTTTGCTGACATGACTCTACATCATTGTGTGGATGTGTGGGACAGGGCCCCTAGACTACAAGACTGGGGTGGTGGTTCTCCTGCATAAGAGGGGAGGCCAGAGATTGTGTTCCAACCATAGTGGGGTTTACACTTCTCAGCCTCCCCAGAAGGCCTAAGCCAGGGTACTGGAGAGAAATGTCCAGCTGATTGCCAAACCTTGGCTTCTGGCGGAGCAGGATGGTTTTGGTCCCAACTGTGGAACACTGGACTGGACATGACTGTGAAGATTCTCAGTCATCTAGGTCATGGTCAAGCTTAAACAAAAATTGTCTAGGCAACTGGACGTGAAGTTTTTTAAAATATGTTTCAACTCTCATCCAAGAGGCTTCTTGAGTTTTAACTAGTGGTGGGGAGCACTGAGAATGGACCAGCTCTACACTCTCTGTAGGGTGCTTGTGAGTGCTTGGGAGTTTGCTTAAAGGGTCTGGATATGTTTTGTGGCCCTGGAGAAGGCATTCAACTATGTCCCTTGTGGTACCATGTGGGGGGCACTCCAGGAGTACGAAATCAGGGCTCTTTACTATGGGCCATCTGGTCTCTGTACACGGTAAGCAGGAGTTTGGTCCGTATTGTCAGCATTAAGCCTTACTCATTCACAGTGAATGTTTGATTGGCAGGGCTGCCCTCTGTCACCGGTGCTGTTAATAAGTTAAATGGACAGGATTTAAAGGTGCAGTCAAAGGCTGGAGGGGTTCTTGTTTGCTGACAAGCAGATTTCACTCAAGCTTTTTGCAAGCTGCGTGGTTCTGCTGGTTCCGACCTACCAAGACCTATAGCATGTAATGGGGTGGTTTGCAGCTGAGGTTGAAGTGGCTGGGATGAGAATCAGCTCTACTAAGTCTGAGGCCACGACTCTTTACCAGGAAAATTTGGCTGGAGGAGTTCAAGGTTCTTCAAGTCATGTTCAGGAATGAGAGGAGAATGAGGTGAGAGATTGATAGACGGATCAGTGTGGCTGCTGCTATTATGCGGAAGCAGCACTGGTCTTGTGATGAGGAGAGAGCTGAGCTAAAAGGTAAAACTCTCGATTTACTGGTCGCTCAGTTTTCCTAGCTTTACTTTATGGTCATCAAATCTGGATCATGACTGAAAGAACAAGATCCCAGATAGTGGCAGCTAAAATGTGCTTTTTCTGCAGGGTAGCCGGTCACACCCTTAGAGATAAGGAGAGAAGCTCAGTCATTCAAAAGAGTCTCAGAGTTGAGCGGCTTCTCCTCAACATCGAGAGGAGCAAGCTGAGGTGGCTCCTACATCTTTTCCAGATGTAGTATTTTGACCCAGATGCAGAATCACATGGAGAACCAGTTAATTTCAATGTTTTATTTATAAAAAGCAAACAAGAATCTGGAAGCGGGGACTACAGAAAGTTAGTTGGAACTTTTTGGTTGGTCTGACTGGAGAAAGAAGACTGGTATGGAAGGAGTTGGTTGATGACAACTGATGATTGATTGATTTGGCTTAGGTGAAAGATGAAGGAGAGGTTGCTTGGATCAGTAAGTATTTCATTCAGTAGGCTGTGCAAATTGTCCAGGTGAGTGTAAGTGAGCTCCTAGAGTGTTGGCATTTGCAAGTGATGTCGTTTTGGAGAATGGGCAGGCAAGTGATGAAGGTTGAGAATTGCTGCATACAGGTGAGACCTTTTCCACGAAGATTTGGGATTAACTGAGGTTCACTGGTAGTTATCAGGGGTAAACGAAAAAAGATGACCCTTTGCCTCCTTATATACACGCTAGCTAGCTTGATTGACAAATGTTCTCAGCTGTGCAGCAACTAAGGGTTGCTGCCAGCCACCAGCAAAGGTATTCTCTGTGACATGAAGCTGACTCACACCAGAAAAATGGCAAGAACCCAGAGATCCTAACAAACTTTGCAAGAACTTATTGGACTTTTCAGGAATATCACACATGCCTTTAGGACATTATCTGGCACTTTTCTGCAGTGTATTATGTGTTTTCCTGGATTTTCCATAATGCACTTTCCTGAGATGTGAGAAAGTAACGTTAATTGTTAAAGACGACTTATAATTCACTTCATAAGAAAGATAATTTCTTGAAAATAGCCAGTAGATTCTAGAAATTATCTAAAAAAACAAACAAACAGTAAAACCTAAAAACAAAAAGAATGATAAAATCAGTTAAGCTGTGAGGGAAGTCACAGTACTATTTATTTGCAGAGTTTTTGCAGGCCCTAAATATTAATCTAATCTTCTCACTTTTAATGAGAAAATTATTTTATGCATTTGCTTTTTGGAGAGCACTACATTCAGATATTTAGAGTTATGGGAGATTTGACTCGATGGGCACAGCATATTTGCTGATGTTGTGTAATGCCTCCTTTGACTGTGCTGATTCTTGTCTCCTTTGATTGTCAAGGCAACCGTATTTGATGGCCAGGGTACGGAGCTTTCTGGAGAGAGAGGAACTTCTACAGCCTTCAGTGGAGAAGGTGCCAAAAGAAATCCACATTTGTCCATACGTTGTGTCATGTTTTACTATGTAAACCACCCAGTTTAGGAACTCTTATGGATTCTAACAAATCAAAAATGTAAAAGAACATGATCAACTAGAAATGTCTCTTACTAGACTAAAAGTACAGGTATAAAGAACATCCAGCAACAGTTGGAATTAAAAACACATCTGAAAACTGAAACAAACTAAGCTACAAACTCATATCATTCTTATGTATATGCAATAACTCTTAAATGTTTGCACATTAGTATTACAGTGCACGATTATGGGGAAACATTGACTTATAAATCTTTTGCAAAGTTGTTCTATCTATAGTACAACACCTATTTTCTTAAATTGTTCTGGGAACCCAGTAAATTTGCATGCAGTTTAAACTATACAAGATGATCCCACAAAGTATTGGTTGACGTTTTACAATCATCTGATTTGCAGGTGAGGCAAATAACGTTGGTCAATGGTCCCACATTTTCACCAGCTATTGTTGAGTGTTCGTTATGTCTCCGTTATAATATAAATTATTTTAGTCCTTTCTAACCTTTTTAACCCAAACTATGCTTTAGCTACTTAAGCTACCGTAAGCTGTGAAAATGTGGAAAGGTCTTACTAGAAAAGCTGACAGATATTTCAGGATTTAAAAAAAATGAGATCTTGCACTGTACAGACATGAATCTTGTTTAACAGTACTGAAAACATTTTTTTCTTGTTAGTATCTATGGATAGTGGATCTCTGTTGATGTCCGAGATTGTGGACATCCCTGATGATTCCTCCCCTTCTGAGGACTCCTGTTTAATGGAGGTTGGGATCAGGACACATGGGGGCAACAGGACAGGTGCTGACCGGGGGGATGCAATGTTCCGTGGTCCACAGTATCATACGCCAGAGAGTCCGCTAGCAGGAGGACCAAGGGCCAGGCGGTTCCTGAGAGGGGAAAGGTCTAATTCCTGCTCCTCACCTAGCACAGCCACCAACACATATAGGTGAGCACAAAAACTATGCTGGAAATGAAAAAGAAATTGCTATGACTCTGCCTTGGTAACCTGTAGGTAAAAATTTAACACTCTCCATCTTTTGGCCAGGTCTCCAGTGCTTCACCGCCAGGCTATGTTTGCCAGTAGCTGTTCCCAGCTTGAAGCAATAGGAAATTCTCCTAATCAACAGGAACAGCTCAATCCAGAGATTCAAGTGAACCTCACCGACCCCTCAGACCAAGATCATGTCCCAGCAACCTATGTTATGCCTCCTTCAACATCCTCGGCAAACAGTGAGCATGAAAACAGACTACGCCCTCCCCATGGACTCCTTTACCTTCGACGAAAGGCTGAGAGGAGTGAAAAAAATGGCGGGACTGTTAGAAGACAGAGAGAAGGCTTTTTACGTCTTGTGAGGTCGCACAGTGAGCCAGGCCTCGGCTCTTCGACAGACACTGGTGAGACCACAACCACAAGATGTACGTTTCTATTAGTTTTACAGTGCTTGAATAATATCACCTTTTGTGTTCCAGTTGACTTTGGATCTGGGGGGAGCAAAGTATCTACAGACGCGGGTAAGAGCCTTAAATCCTAAAAATCTTGGAGATTTTCCGGGCTTTTTGCCAAGTGTACGGTCACTCAGTGACTTGGTCTAAAATCTTTTTTTTTTTTTAAGAATAGAAGAGATAAAGTGTTACTTTAGAAAATAAAACACTGGACCAATTTACAATAACTTCAGGAGTTACCCAATGATCTATCATAGTTCCTATTATATTTTCTAATTGCAGTCTTTTATACAGCAACATCCGTCTTAAATTAATGACTTACCCCAGGCTCACACCGACTCCGGTCTTACCGTTGCGGTGCGGTGGGTGCGGCGCCGCAGTGATTCCAAGTCATTAAAAAGACGTAAACCTCTCTCACCGGCTGATGAGCTGTCCGGCTGCGGTTACCGAGACACTCCGGCGCTGCAGAAAATTCCGCAAGAAAGCTATCCTTGCGGCGTGCCGGAGCCCTCCGCAAAGAGCTCTCGCAAATATCCTTATTTGGGCTGTGTTATTGCGTGAAGTTACGTTAACTCGAGTGAACTTCTGTTAAATCTCCGGACCTGTTGCCGGAGCCGCAGAGCCGCACCGCACCGTAGTCAAAAGGGCGGTGTGAGAGGGGGTGTGCGGGAGTTGCGGTCTCCGTCGGCTCGGTAACCGCACCGGAGCCAGTGTGAGCAAGGGGTTACAGGAAGCCTTTCAATCACTAGGAGTCTTTGCTAAAACCAGGTCTTAACTCTAAGTGGCCTAAATTCATGACCTGTCTTAAGACATGTGACTTTTGCATTGTAACACTAGATGGTAACATTGTAGCACAGAAAAAAATCCACTTCATTTAAATACTTGTGTTGTTTTATCTAGCTTTTTATTTATAATATATTACACTGAATTTTATTGATAGTGTGGAAGATTTGTTTCTCTTCAATATTTATATTAACCTTTAAAACTGATTTCTTTGTGTCTTTTCCTTCTTCTAAATATGTTATTGCTTCAAACTGGTTCAGGATTTACACTGCTCAAAAAAAATAAAATAAAGGGAACACTCAAATAACACATCCTAGATCTGAATTAATTAACTATTCTTACTGAATACTTTGTTTTGTGCAAAGTTGAATGTGCTGACAACCAAATGTCATCTAAGCCCAGCAAAGTGGCACCCCACACCATTATTGACCCACTGCCAAACTGGTCATGCTGAAGGATGATGCAAGCAGGAGATTGCTCTCTACTTTGCCTCCAGACTCTCTCACATCTGTCACATGTGCTCAGTGGGAACCTGCTTTCCTCCATGAAGAGCATAATCCTAGTGTTCTCTGGCAAGTCAACCGTGCTGCATAGTGTTGGGCTGTGAGACATATGTGGATGATGGGCCCTCATACCATCCTCATGAAGTCGTTTTTTAAAACGTTTGTGCTGACACAAGCACATTTGTGGCCTTCTGAAGGTCAGTTTTTACGGCTCTGGCAGTGCCCCTCCTGTTCCTCCTTGCAGAAAGGCAGAGATAGTGGTCCTGCTGCTGGGTTGCTGCCCTCCTCCATGTCTCCTGGTAGCACTTCCAGCCTCTGGACATTACGCTGACAGACACAACAAACCTTCCTGTCACAGCTTGCATTGATGTGGCACCCTGGATGAGCTGCACTACCTGAGCCACTTGTATGGATTGTAGAGACTCATGCTACCATGAGTGTGAAAGCACCACCAACACTTAAAAGTGACCAGAACATCAGCCAGAAAGCACAGGTACTGAGAAGTGATCTGTGGTCCACACCTGCAAAACCACTCCTTTATTTACTATGTCTTTCTAATTGCACTTTTTTTTTGTTCTTAGATAGACCTTTTTCAGTTACTGTAGCTTGAGTTACTCTAAGTTTTCAAGTGAAATTCCTCGTCAATCAGCGTTTTAAGTAATGCTCAGACCTACCAGTCTGGTATCAACAACCATACCAAGTTAATATTTCCTTAAATCCCATTTCTTGCCATTTTTAAGGTTTGAACCACAGCAAGTGATCTTAACAATGACTGTAAGCCTTAACTCTGTAAGTTCTTGCGATGTGTTTGGATGTTTTACCAAAGTTTTAACAAGCTATTGAACTGGTCTACCTGATAAATGATTGTTCCTTGTGTTCCTAAAAGAGTGCTTTGCTCTCAATCTGCTGGTTTACTAGTGGTTCAGTAGAAGTAGGGAGGCAGATCTTTTAGTTATCAGGCTCCTCTCCTGTGGAACCAACTACCAGTTTTAGTCTGTGAGGCAGACACTCTGTCTACTTTTAAGATTAGGTTGAAAACTTTCCTTTTTGATAAAGCTTATACTAAAAGTGGCTCAGGTTATCCAGTGCTATCTCTATAATTATGCTGCTATAGGCTTAGACTGCTGGAGGACATAGGAACCTTTTTCGTCATTCTGCTTCAGTCCATCTCTATTCTCCCACTCTGCAGAATTTGTTAGATCAATCTCTAATATTATGCTCACTCTGCTTGTTTTTCTTCATAGTAGCTTCATCTGGTCTGCTCCTGTTTGGCAAGCATGCTGGGCGTGAGGCATTGCCTTTGAGTCAATTATTCGATGCAATCAACTGGTTTTCCTTAGATATAAAACTTTGAATCAATTTGTATGATCTGGGTGTCTCTGTAAAGTGCCTTGAGATGACATGTATTGTGAATTGGCATTATATAAATAAGCTAAATTGAATTAAATTTGCAGGTGAGTGAATACTGAGTGTGGAACCTAATAAATAAAAATAAATATCTGATTTTTATTTAAAGCTCCATCTTCCGAGGCATGCTTGTTGCCTCCCTCTCCTATGACTCCTGCCGCAGCTTTGCCAAGTAAAGGCGGCAATAAGTCAGCAGCCACAGAGGTGCAAATCCCACCTAAACCTGCACCCACCTCACCTATACATATACCTAAAGACTACCACCGCTCTCTAGGAGACCTAAAGGTACACCAGATATCACTTACATTACAAAGGACTGGAGAACTTATTATTAATCAAATCAAGTTTGGTATTACTTCTCTTGCTTTTCTTTCAGGTTACCCGGGTTCTGGTTGCCCGCTTCTTGCAGCGCTCCAAACGTAACCTAGCACTGTCCTCTGAACATGGTGCGAACACAGGACAGGGGTCTAAGAGGAGAAGTGGAGTAGAGGCAGCTGGCCCTGACCACCTCCCCTCTGAACAAGTATGACACTTAGACTCCCCTCATTTTCAGCACTCGTTCAGCATCTGCAGGCTTTGTCTCACCTACAGTGTCATTAAATCACCTCCAGGTAACACGGAGCCTTTGGAGCACTAGCCGAGGACCCTCCCATCACCCTCATCGCCGTGGACATCACCATTCCCATAGCGACAGCCGGCACAACCGGCAACACAGCAGCCGGACGCCAGAGGGCATCCACCTGCGCAGCTGCGGAGATCTAAGCTCCTCCACTTCGTCGTTACGCAGACTAATGACGCCTCATCCACCACATGGGTCATCAGGAGCGCTCTACTCTGAGTCTGCACTGTGACAAGTAAAGAAGGACCAAAGAGGATGACAACACGCCAAGATCTTGCATAAGTGAAAACATTCAGAGTTAATTTTTCAAACCTCCCCTCATTTTTCTCTTCCTCACCTACCCTTCGGGGTTTACTTCAGTAGTACTGCAAATTGACTTTACATGAGCTGCAGCTTACTTAACCAAGAAGGACAAAAATGATCAAAAGAGAAGGACCACTATCGATTCAATAAGCCTCTTGCAAAATAGTGGGTTGCAATTTATTTCTCATCTTTTGTTTTAAATTTGATGTTATATCCCTACATCACTAAGGTGGAAAGACTGAGGAAATCCCCGTTTTGTCTTCCATATGTATTAACAGAAAGGCCACCAGAAGCAGAGTCAGCATAACACAGTGTCTTGCAAAGGTATTCATACCCCGGGATAACTCAAGTGACTTTTTCCCTTAGATTTACATTTAAACTATGTTGTTTATTTATAATCAGAGGACCAAAAGCAGCACTTTGTTGGAACCCACTTTACTCTGATTGCAGCCCTCTTTTGATTTTTTGGAAAGCATTCCAATCTGAGTCAGAATGGATAGGAACAAACTGTAAAAAGCAACTTTTAAGTCATTCGACAGATTCTCATTTGGGTTTCAGGCTGGCCTTTGACTGGACCATTCTAACACAACAATAGTCTTCAATCCAAACAAATTATATCTGGCCTTATATTAACTTTTTTCCCCAGCTTTTATTATCATGACACTGTCACAAGTACAGAGCAACGAAATGAACTCTCTACATTTAACCCATCCCTATGGTGAGCAGTGGGCTGCAATTGTGCGGCACCCGGGGAACAGTGTGGGGGAGGGGTCTTTGCTCAGGGACCCAGAGTTGTAGTCTGTAGGAGTGGGGCTTGAACTCAGAATGTCTGGATTCCAAGCGCAATGCCCTAACCAGGAGGCCACTACTAAGCTTTATATTTAGATCACTTTCCTGCTGAAGCTTCATATTATTATATTATTCACCCTCTTATTAAGTTGGATAATTTTTCCTCACCCTAATCCATTTCCAACAGTATATTTTTTGCTCATTCTTCCAGGTACAAATTTTTACTTTCCTTACTTAGAGTTGATCTGGCAATTCAAATACCATTAATATATATTAAAGATAAATGCCAGAACAGGTGAAAGATTTGATGGGGTATTGATACTTTTGTAAACCTCTATATAATTACTGCGACACCAAGTCTGATGACTAAACTGTAAGATATATCAATGAAGTTGCACCTGAGGACAAAAAACTGTCATAAAAGATCCTCAATCAGCATTTTTTTTTCACCAACCTGGAGGCGTTAATAAAGGCCATAATAAAGCAGCCAGCATTCCTTATGGTGACGCTGACTCACCATAGACACGACTCCAGTCGTTGACATGTATCCCCTGCGTGTGATGACCGCACACACAAATGTGCATGTTTTTGCTACAGCTGTGATACAGTGGGAACCTTGTGCATTTGATTCTGCCTGTCCGTGTAACTAAGTAACAAGTGCTCTGAATGTCTTTATCTGCATGTTTGCTTCTTTATTCAGTTTCCCCTGCTGCACAAGGGACCTGTTATGCAGCTACCTGAAATGCTACTTGAGGTTAGGGACAATGTATCCTGTCAGGTGGCTCCACACTCACCTCTGGGTCTTACTTTTTGAAATAACATAAAAGACCTTGAATGGAAAAGTCTGAACCTTGTAATATAAAACGTGTGTACTTGTTTGAGACGCTCTAAATATATCATTTGGTTCGGGATACACACCTTGTGTTGGCACATTCAGCTGTACAGTGGTTGTTTAAAGATGATTTAATGATGAAAAAAAAACATTAGAAGGTCATTAAGACATTTAAGTCAGACTGGATTTTGAAGGGAGCTTTTCTCTTGATTCACAATAAGATCACTAAAGGCACATTTTGTAAAAAGACAAGTATGTACATGCTTGTTAACATTTACACTCATGCATCTACAATAGTAAACACAAAAACACGTTGAGAAAGGCACGGAGATTTGCTTCTTGCATTTTCTTTTCTATTTGAATCTACATAATTTTAGGCCCCCTTTTACAAAGTGCTTCACCCTGAATGATAAATGTACATTAAATAGGACTCCAATTTGAAAATTTAAACAGTGTTGATAGTTAAACTTTCAATGCAAGTTATGTATTTAATATATGAAATAAATAATAAAACAAAACAAAAAATGAGTCACTGATGTTGAAATATTATGAAAGACAAAAGTTGTGACTAAGTAATTGTGGAGTGCATTTAAATGTATCATTTTGGTCTAGTTGGACATCACTATTGGGGGAAAAAAATTTATTTGCATCCCCTGTAGAGTGCAAATGACAATCTGAATGAAAGTTTCCACACAAAAAAAAAACTATGATCAAAATAACTTATCAAAGGGCTAACCTATAATAAATCTCTGTGGTCAACAATGACAATTAAAAAGACAGGTTAAACATATGAAGTCATCTTATGCCGTGCTCCCACAAGCCTCTGTCAGCCGTAGCTTCGCCCCACCCTGGCTCTGTTCCCAAGGCAGATTAGAGCTAATTTTTCATCATATCTGCTCTTATGTATTGGTAGAAGTTATTTTTTTTTTTTTTGTATTCATAAATCAGTATGACTTAAACCAGGTGTAAAAATCTACTGAGAGTACTGTCTACCTCTGTAGTTGCTAAGCTAATGTTTAGCCCTTCTAAGATGGTCACTAGGCTCGCACTCAGATGTGAGTCCACTGCAATGTTATCAATGTAAGGTTTAAAATATGGGGTCATTTCAGGAACTTGGAATGAAAGATTTCTTTCATAAAATAATCTTAAAGGTATTGTGGAGGATTTTTCTCGTATGACCCTGGGCCATTTTCAAAGAACTGTGGTGAGAAAGGTGAGCTTCAATGAATGTCTGAAACCATAGCTCATCACACATGTGGCTGAAAGTGTGCATGTGCAGAATAAGATAGCTAACTGGGCGAAAAACGTAGAACGGCCTTACGTAAATGTATCAAAAGAATGATTGACAATTAGGAGGACAACTTATTTAGATGATCCACCCGGAAAAAAAAAAGATTGTCCTCTATACCTTTAAGTTAAAGAAATTAGGTCATAAAGATAAATTTGAATAAAGGTTTGACGTCATTAATTCAAACCAGCATGGACATCCTAGTTCGAAAAAGGATAATCTAGGTTGAAGTATTGCATCAAAAAGCCAATGTGTCCTTAGCTCAATCCACAATTATTGAATGAATGAAAAGGAATTTATTTCAGATAATTGAAAACAATTTTGACAAAACAATAAATTAATCAACCAAAAGAGACTGGTTAACATCAGACCAAACCAAACACCGATGCCCAAACTAACTAAATTCACCTGAACATAAATAGAAACAAAACCCTCCACAAATAAACCTGACGGTATATACAGCCAGAGAACCGACATTGATTAATGTAAATTGTCTGAAAAGGGGTATGAAGTAAAACTTATTTTTCATACACCCTCTCCCTTTAATTGCACTTAAATTAACTTAAGTCCAGTAATCTCTTTTTTTAAGAAGGGAAATTGGAATGAAATTTTGATGTTAGGTTAAAAATATGAGGTCCTTGAATGAAATTGGAATAAAAGAATTTAGGCTTAGAAAGTTAGGCTAAACATATGAGGTCATGAAAAGGAAATTTGAATTAAAGATTTGTCTCATAAAGGTATTGTGTGTAGACACATGAGATCATTAAAGAAAATTGGAATAAAGGTTTTATGCAATAACGTAGTCTTACTTTAAACAAATGAAGGGAATTTAAAATTAAAGTTTGATCTCTTCAACTGATGTTAGGTTGTCAATATGGGGTCATTAAAGACATTTGGATGAAATATTTAAGTCATAAAATCATCTTAGGTCACATATAAGAGGTCATAAAGGGAAATTGTGATGAAAGTTCAATATTATTTACTGATCTTGGATTCAAAATAGGGGGTCTAAAGGAAATTGGATTTAGATATTTATTTCATAACATCATCTTATGTCAAACATGGAAGGCCCTTTTAGAAATTTTAAGGAAGGTTTTATGTTATAAAATAGCTTTATGATAAATAAATGCTGTCATTAAGATAAATTGGAATGACAGATTTATTTCATATAATCATCATTTTATTATCACTTAAGTCAAACCAATAAGGTCATAGAGGGTCCCTTAAATGAAGGTTTGATGTCATAAAGTCAAAGCAGCATGGACAACCTAGTTCAGAAAGGCCAATCTGAGTTGAAATATCAAAAAGCTAATGTGTTAATAGCTGGAGCCACAATTAATAAATAGTTCACTAAGGGAAATTGGAATGAAAGTTTGATTTCATCCACCAATGTTAGATTCAAAATATGGGGTCCTTAAAAGAAATTAAAATGAAAGATTTATGTAAAAAAAAAAAGTTATTACTGGAGAAACAATTGAGGCCATCAAAGGAATTGGAAAGGAAGATTTATGTCATAAAGTCATCTGAGGCTAAACGTATGAGGTCATCAAAGGAAATTGTAATGAAAGATTTGTGTCAAAAGTAATTTTCGGATAAAGACAATGTCATTAGAGGAAATTGAAATGAACTTTTGATGTAAACATGTTTGATCTGAACCATGCTCACTGTAGTAGATGGTGCAGTTTTGATGCTGCTCTCCTCTCTAAAGCCCCATTTACACTACCCTCTGAAAACCGATCCGTGCCGAGCTCGATTCCTTACGATCATTTACACACCACGCTAGCATGGTCCCTCGCCTCCTGGTCACGATCTACGGCACTACTGCTCTCTAGAGTTGAAGCTTTTCTTATGAAGAACCATAATTTTGGTCCACATTAGGCATCATAAGGGGTTTACACTATATTCAGTGGTGCCAAATAATTGATGGATTTTTCGTTTTTGTTCTCATACAGATGGAGATCAGTAATGTGGATGAACAACTTTGTGAAGGTCAGCAGCATGTGGAAAATATAGACCTGGATCAGCGGAATATCTCTGAGAAATCACATCGCTGTGACCACTGTGGAAAGGGTTTCAAGAGATCTCATGATCTGAAACGACACCTGCTTATCCACACTGGCGAAAAGCCTTTCATCTGCCATCTGTGTACGAAGCAATTCAGGCACAGTGGAAATTTGAATCGCCATGTGTCCATTCACACAGACAAAAAGCCATTCCTCTGCCTTCACTGTGGGAAGCAATTCCGCACGAAAGGAAATTTGAATCAACATCTATACATCCACACCGGCGAAAAGCCTTTCCTCTGCCTTCACTGTGGGAAGCAATTCTGCCAGAAAAGAGATTTGAATTGCCATCTTTACATCCACACCGGCGAAAAGCCTTTCCTCTGCCATCAGTGTGGAAAAAGCTTTGTTCGTAGATCTTCTCTGAAAACCCATCTACATATCCACACCAGAGTCCCTACATGTGCAGGAGGTGTGGAAAAAGCTTCAGACCATTGAAATCTGTGCAACATCATTTGGAAATTGACACAAGAGAAGAATTTTCTGTTTGGTTCTCATGCTTCTCTTATCTGAGACCTAAAGCTTAACGTCTTTAATAAAATTCACTTGCATTCAAAGATTTTTATATTTCTTTCTTTTGCAACTATAGGTCTGATAAAAACTTTAAAATGAGTACATATTGCTCCATTTTTAGTTTCCTTTTATTGGCTTCCTGTTAAATCCAGAATTATAATAACCAGATAATGGAAGATCAAGATTCAACCGGAGCAAGAGACGTTTAAACAGTGGAGCTGCTTGGGAGAGATTCACCAGAATCAACAACTGCAACACAGAATACAGGTCAGAGATCCAAATGACACGAAGACAGGTCTGATAGGGGTCAGGCAGGCAAGCAGGTTTACAGGAATACTTGTAATAATCTGACACTAGTCAATGGTCTGAGAGCTGGTTATACAGTTAGGTAAGAGGGAAAATCTGATGGAGGCTGAGTGGAAACAGGGCATAGCTGCCAGGTCTGTTGAATCCTGAATCAAACCAGCACTCATGCCAGGAATCATGACAAGAATAGAATTCAAAATCCTCCATGTCACCTATAAAGCCCTAAACAACTAAGCTCCATCTTGGTTGTTGGAATAGGAACCCATCATGGAAAGCCCAGGCCAAAGGTCAAGCGCTCCAGATGGACCAAGACTGAGTTGTGATGGTTGACAGTTTAGAACCAACCCAAAACAAACAAGCTTGGTTGCATTTCTCTGAGGAACAGAGCAGTTACCGTAGATGCTGGCTGGAGATGGGAGCCTTCAAAGGAAGGCCTTCCTGTGATGTGAAGCTGGAGCAAAATGAACCAAAGGTAATTTAATGGGAATCCTTGTGTCTGCTAATGCTAACCCATTCAAAGATTGTAAAGAATAATTTAACTAAATGTTACTGGTTCCTCATTAAGCAAATAATTTATTAAAACATTATCTGGCAAAACAATTTTTATTCACCTCTTGGATTTGCATTGTGAATTGATTTTAAGACATATCAATTGATCTAAATTAGTTAAAAGCTAGTTTTTTTATATCCCAAATTCTTCAAGATAAACTTTGTTTCGCCAACACAAAATCACAAAAATTGTTATTTATTTGCATCGTCTGATTATTGTTTTCAACCATGTTGTCCTTTCTTCTTTGTACATACTAGCTTAGTTTTGAGGAGTTTTACTAGATTTAGGCAAGAGTTTTCAGTTGTTGTTTTAACACACAGCCAATAGCTGGAACATAAATGTTCTGCTATCAGAACTCTGAGTCACCAGCCTGACGATATTCCCTCATCCCCAGAGAAAAAAAAAAGAAAAAGAAATACAAGCATGGTAGGAAATCACTTGAAGTATGTAGTTATCTAAACCTGGCCAGAAGAGAAACCTTTAGTCTAACACAGAGGAGAAAAAAAGAGAGATGCAAAAAAACTTTGTAATTGTATATGTCTAGGAATTTCTGAGAACTCAGAAGTATTTTGTTGAAACCCCGATGGATTTCAAACCCAAAAACACACCCGTGCAAAAACTGGTTTATCCTTAAGACAAAACACCCAAACCTAAGGTAAGTTTATGCAATCCTGTGCAGTGAGGACTGTAAAGCTTCCTATATTTGAGAAACCAAACAACAACTACAAAAAAAAAAAACAGTAAGTCTGGGCAAGATTCAGTTGTACACTTCCACCTCAAGAACAAAGGGCACACCTTTCAATACCAA